CCAGTCGATAACAAAGTTTCCCGTGGAAAAAAGGATCGCTTAGTCATCATCCGACACGAAAATTCTAAGGGCTCTTCTAATCCCCCCGTCTTAGAGCGTCCGGCAGGGTGGCCACGCCGTAATTCGACTCCTTAACTAATCATTTTAACTCTCCTTCTCTTCTCGCGTTCCGTTCCGTTCACTTCAAAGGACCAGGCCTTTGAAAGGATTTTGACCTAGATGCTTGTGCCTATCCGAATCTTATTCTTATTGGTCGAAACTGCTGCCGATCAAAAGCGGTTCGATAAGTTCGATTACTTTAGATTATAAAAATATAAATTGTATGTACGATAGAATGAATATAGAAGATACGATATAATCTTTGCGTTTCGAAAATATTGTTCAGCTTTGACAAATGGAACGATTGTAAGTGTCGCTTCTAACCGATCGTCAAAGTTAATGCCGAATACATCTGGCCACTTTATCTTTAACCGTAACTTAATACGAAGCGGAGGTGGAGAAAGAAAACAAAAACTGATATTTCCAGCTATGATATACGTGGGAGTAGTAAGCCTTCTCGTATGGCAATCTAAGAACGTTTACTTACTCTCGGCTGACATTTGCCTCGAGGCGATGAAAAATGTCTTAACTTGCTAGTTTGACCATTTTCCGCACAATTATCGTATCGTTTATTACCGCAAATCTCCTCTTCTAACTATAATTATGCTATAATTATTACGACTATTAATTCTGGTTAAGAGCAGATAAATACGAAATATTAATTTCTCAATTCCAAAATGTAAGAGAAAAAAATAGTGATGGTACTTTCTAAAAAAAAAAGAGAAAAGAGCAAAATGCACTTTCACGTCTAATTAATACTTCAACGTCAGAATATATGAAATATTTTATTCGAAACGTTAATCTCTAATTAGATGTATATAATAAGTTGATGAAGAGTTAAGCGCGTGGTTCGCGTTGGACGAGCGTGAAGAAATCGTTTTGCCGCTAATCTCCACCGATCTTCCGTTCCCGGTAAATCCTCCGGTGTGCCAATCGAGTTCCGTACGTATATATCGCATGCACCGCACGTTTCTCAGCGATTCTCAACCGAAACTCTGTTATCGATCGAACCGAGCAACGAATATCCCGCTCGTTCGATACATATATTACGAAATAATTTGTCGATCGACAAATTGAATCGACGGAAAGAAGAAAATAACGAACATTACGTTTAATCCTCCTCTTTCTATATCATCATATAAGAAAACGAATAATCCGTGCGTAAAGAACGAAGGGGGAAAGCGAAAAGAAAGCGAAGAAAAAGCGAAGAAGCCGCGAAAGAGTCGCCACTGAAGTTAATCGCCTTGGCCTGTCAATCGCGTCGACTCACACTTGTGCACGCGCACGTACGCATGCGCAGGGTATACACGGGCGCAGGCGTTGGATGGAACGTTTGCACGCAGCGTGCAACCTCGATGCAATGCCCTTATGAGTTGGTACACCGTTAAAGACGCACTAATGCAACCGCTGCTCGTTGCTCCCTCGTGCATCGATGCACTCTCGCCACGGACCGTATACCAACGAAACAAAAGGAGGGAGGAGAGTGCAGAGTGGAACGGTATGGAGCTGTGCCGCGCGCTCCTACCAAATCCAACTACGTTGAGTTTACGTTAGAACGAGAACACGGGAGGACGCGTTCCCATAATCGGTCGGGATCGTTTCTCCTCACTCGGTCGGTTAAAAAGTGTAACTAACGCGCGGCATTTCTCGTTGTGAAAAATCATCACCAAGTGCGCCTAGCCTTTTGCTTCTCCGTTCGATTTCCAATTTAACGCTTACGGTAAGCAACGAATCGATCTTTTTCTCCCTCTTGTTATTCATTCGTCTTTGTAGAAATCTACTTACTTTACTTGCTTTACGAGCAAATTATTTTTCGTTTGAATTTATCCACGAGGGAGCCACGAAAGAGAGAGAGAGAGAGAGAGAAAGATAAAATTAGAACGAAATAAACGAACGTTTTAGCGTGGAAGAAAATGCAAGAGAAACGCGATTTCGCACGCGCAACAAGTCTTGCCTAACAACAACCCGCGTGTTGCGGAATTCCATAGCCCTTTGCATCTCACGTTCTTCCCATTCTTTTAATTGAAACTCGTTATTCTCTTTGTAGACGATCGTAACTTCGTAAGCTTGAACACACCTAAAACGATCATATTTTCAACTCGTCGGTTTCGAAGATAATTCGCGTGTATCGTCGTGTATGCGGTAATAAGCGTGGATACGTGTTCGCAAAATTTTAATTATAAGGAATAGCTAGTAATAATTTTCCGACGTAAAAATATTCTTATTTGCTCTCTCTCTGCGTTTTAAGAATCGCACTTGTTTTTACGAGTATTCCATTTTCACGTATGGACAAACGCGTTCTTTCGCATCGGTTATTGCATCGTATACGCTTCTTTTCTCGCGAGAATTAATCATCGAGCGGCAATGAAACGATCATTCGGCAATAATTTTTAATTATCCAACCAAACACAGTGGTTTGATGCAACGTGCGATATTAAACGCGGCGAAATAATAATTATTTCTTTTAATTAAATGGAGGAGCATCGACACAATATTTGCAATTAATTATCTTCCGTAAACAAGAAGCACGATAGCGGTATCGCGAGTTTCAAGAGTGAGCCAAGCATCGAATTGAAGTAGCCACGTCCGTCGATCGACTCTGCTGTTATCGAGTGCTACTCAAACACCAACAACAGAGTCGTAATATTCGCTTCGTAGTTGCGAATCGTTCGATCACCAGACCCATCAAATTTAATCGGCATCGTACATAAAAGAGAAATAACGGGGCACGTATATCGAGCACGTGTATGGATATTTATTCGCGATAGTTTCTCCCCCCTCGTTTCGTTTTCGAGAATTCGAAGCGCGCGGATAAGTCGTTAATATCTGGCTTCGACCTTGGATGAATCATTTTCGTCTCTAATGCTCGGTCACGTTCCATGTTCCTCTTCGTCACCACCGATCGCTCGCCGATAAGGGGAGATAGAAAAAAAAAAAAAAACACTTGGGGCAAAGCGACTCTCTAAAATTCTTACCAACCATAAAAGCACTCGTCGACTCGACATTCTAATCAACGATACCCCTTCCTCAGATGGAATCGCGAATCCCGTTTCGCTCTCTTTTCGCCTCGTTTGTCCCCAGCGGTTCGAATTCCGTTCGAACGACACGAAAGAATGCGATTCACGCGTACGCCGATTATGAATGCCGATCGATCGATCGAGGGGTTAAACGGATGCGACATAACGGCGCGGGATTCCTTCTTTCTCGATCGTTATTTATCTCGTGGCGCGATTTGTGTCACGTAGCGATTCGACAATTGAACCGAGGCCGAGCCAAATTATAGGCCGTGCTATTACGGCGAATCAGCGCGAGCACCGGTGCCAATGATCGCTGCTTCGCAGATTACCGTAACGAGCATCGATCGAACGTGAGACCGTCCTTGCACGAATTGATTTAAGCGGACCGAGAGAGGAGAGATTCGGTTGGAACACCGAGCGCGTGTTTGTCAGATCGTCCGATTTTTCCTTTTTTGCTTTCTTTTCTTTCTTCGAAAAACGAGCTTTCGATTATTATTTCGTTGTTCGTTGTCGAAGAATCAAGTCGAACAAGTATATTCGATGATGATACGAGTATGAATGTATTAATAAGTCGTTTCTGTTAATTACGGGTGCACGGGGACAATGGACGATGATGCGAGCGATGAATTGCGTAAGTCGTGCCAGCTGTGTGGCAGTGGATATCAGGATAACAGCAGCTGTTTCATGATCTAGATTAAAAGTTATCAGGCGATCTTCATTGCGGCAATTTAGGCATCCACACCGCAATTTTCTATTCGACGCGATAATAATCGCTCCGTCGAATTGATTTTTTCGACTTTGGAGACAGCGCCAACGTTCGTTTCCTACCCGTTTAGAATCGTATTTCGAGTATTTCTATTCTACTCGAGAAGCGTTAATTTTTTCCCCCCCACTATTATTGGCTCCGCCAATAATTCCTTTGCTCGTAACGTGACTGTTTGTAACGATAAAAATATAGGGTGGGATCATTATCCATTTAATTCGATACTGGTTGTAACTTGGTCCCACGATAACGTAAATTACTCCGTGGAAACAATGTCCGCGATTATAGTAGCGACAGATTGAGCAATGGGCGGTAGTAGATTAATCTCCTTGCATGGTAAATGCACGCTGTCACGTGTATGTACTACACAGGGCACAGCCCGTGGTTTATTTTATCTTCAAACAGCACATATTTCTCGGACACACAGTTAAGGAGTTGAGGCCGGGCACAGTATTACGACTGTGCTTGGTTAACGAGCCAACCGCTATCGTCGTTTTATTGACCCTCGACCAATGACAGTGCGAATGCGTTAGAAAAAGACCAGGCCGATTACAAGACTCTCCGTCCATCCGTTTTTAATTAAATATTACCAATTAAATACTCCACTTATCTCCTATCTAGAATATTTTCCAGATTATCCAAACTTTTATCTTTTCCCATTGGGCATTGAAACACTGTCCTCTCGTCTCTGTGTCTGTTGCCATGCCAGTTACCATCGAAAATATAATAACGGTCGCCGGTGGAAAAAAGTGTCGCGGGACGGCAGAGGGACGAGAGGGGTTCTCCTTCGCTAGGACCTTCTATCCCCACCTCGCGCGCTTTGTTGACAATCCTCGCACCACAAGCTACACAGTGCTAAAAATTATCTTCGCTATCGAGTTACGTGTCTAGTTTATTCTATATAGAAATACGTTACATAAATAAAGCTAAAAAATCGTTGCAAATCAACCAATTAACCTGCGCATATTGTGAATAAATAAAACAATTTTTATATCACATCGACACGTTAGAATTCTATGCATACGCTGATGTTCCTTTCACCCAATTTTTCCCGAAATAAGATAAGATCGTTGTGGCGAGAGACGAACGATTAACACGAGGCAACGATTTTTCGTTTTCAGGTGGTTTGAAGCATGGGAACGGCGGCATAGGCAGCGCGAGCAGTTCCAGAAGCACGAGTCCGAGCCAACAACAACAATCGCCCCAAACCGGACTCTCCTTCATTCCCCAACCGAGGAATCAAAATTCGACCAACAGGCAACCCTCCACCACTACCCCGAGGTAAATATCAATCTCCTCTTGCACATATAATCTTAACCCTTTGCGCTCGAAGACTTTTTTTTTCTTTTTAGCTTAACTTTTCGCTACTACGGGCGACTATAACCGCTCTGCCTAAAATTGATGATTAGTACATCGAATATATCTTTCTTTAGAATCTTTTTTTCAATAAACACCAACGTCAAAGCAACGTGCATTTTTGTCGCGGCGGAAAAGTCGCCCGTAACGAAAGGATTAATTTATCAAAAAAAAATGAACCGATCAATTATCGATTACTTCTCTGCCTGTATAAAAGAGGATTAAAAATTTTAACGTCCAATTGACAAAATGAATTTCTCTGGAGCGCAAAGGGTGGTCTTATCGATTCGACGTACGAAGTAACGAGAGAAAAATTGGAATTCGTTTCAGTCCCCGAGCCTCGACGGTGGGCAAACCGCCCGGGTGCGTGAGGGGGGCCCAATCCTCTCCGTACGCGAGCAGCACGCCCCCCCAGCAGAACAAGAACTCGGTGCTGGACAAGTTCAAGCTGTTCAACAACAAGGAGAAGAATCAGGATCGCGGCAAAGCTTCGTCGGGCGTGTCGAAGCGGACCTCGAGCTCGTCCGGCTTCTCCTCGGCCAGGTCGGAGCACTCGGACAGCTCGACGTCCCTGTGCGACCAGCAGGGCAAGCAGCAGGTGGAGTCGCCCAAGAGCCGGGCGTTGAAGTCGAAGCTGCAGTCGGCCAAGTCGGCCGCGAAACAGGCGAGCCCGAAGGCCGGGAGGAAGGAGCAGGGCAAGGGACAGAGCAAGATAGCGCGGACGAAGGGGGGGGCGGCCGACAAGTTGCTCGTCTACGCGCCCCCCGAGGATGCCAAGCCGAGCGCCAAGATCGGCGCCACCAAGGTGATGCCGCCCCCGCCGCCGCCCTCCGCCGACAAGAAGTCCTCCAATCTGCACGATTTGTTGAGGCAGCAGCAATCGAGCCATCATCACCAACCGTTGCAAAAGGCGGCTGCCAATCCGTTGAAACAGGTGGCGGGCCAAGAGAAGAATCTCGCGAAGAACGAGAGCAAACCGAGGCCCAAGATGGAGCTGCCCGCCAAGATACCGACCACTGACGCCACCAAGATCCACAACGTGCCCAAAATTCCCCCCAACGGGTTGAGCAAGGACGTGCTGGGCCAGAAGGGGTTGTTGTTGAGCAACGGGATGATCAAGCAGGAGGAGGATGGCGAGGAGGACGAGGAGACGGTCGAGAACGACTCGACGATCGAGCGCACGTTGTCGATGAATCGGGCCAATATGTGCGAGCAGAGGTCGGCGACGATCGTGGAAGGAGGGAAACAACGGAGGGACGGAGGGGAGGATCAGAGCGGAGCGGAGAGAGTGCAGGGAAAGGGAGGAAGAGTGGAGAAGAGCGAGGAATTGGAGGAGAGGCAAACGCCATCTTGCGTGTTCGCGACGAACGACGCGAAAATGACGAGCATCGTTCAAGAAGCGACGACGGGAGCTCAGACAAACGTGGTGGTCGTCGCTGCCGCTCCTTCATCTTGCCACGTCGAGCAGCAACACCACGCGGGTGTTAATTTCGGGAAGCAGCACTCGATGGCGAGCGGGCCGCTGCAAGGCTCGAGTCTGATCGGGAGTCCGGGCTCGAGCATTCCAAAGCCCACTGCCTTGGTGAAAGGCACCTCGAAACCGCCTAAGGAAAACAGCGTGCCGGGCGTACCGACGCCCACCAAATTAAAAGCGGACGCTTTGCATCGCAAGCTCGACCCGAATACGGTCGCAATGGTGTCACCGATGCCCAGCATCTCCGACCTCATGTCCGAGAGCTCGCACAGCAACTCGAACAGCACCGGGCAGAGCAATTCGAGCGACAGCAGCGTTATCTACAGGCCGAGCAGCGAGAGCGGGAGCGAGATCAAAACTATACCCAACCGAAAGATCGACACCACGTTCGAGCAGATGGAGAAGGTAATATTCGAGTAATTAATAAACGAAAGACGCGGGCAGATAGGGTGAAATTTGATGACGATTTTGTCGTAGGTCTTGGGCTCGGAGGGTTCAACGTGCGGGGGAGGGGGGGGCGACGACGAAGCGGAGATGACGGTGAAGCCTATGCAACCTCTGCTCCGCGGTTACACGCCGGGCGCGAGGGCTCTCCAGACGTTGCCGAGCAGGACGAACGCGCGACAGTACACGATCCTTCATTCCTCTTCCCATCATCATGTCGGTCACGATTACGCGGACATCGACGTCGCCTCCGGTTATCTGAGCGACGGGGAGGTTCTCCGCGGTGGCATGACCGTCGGTAGCAGGACTCTGTCCGACTTGTGCGACGGTTACATGTCCGAGGGCGGTGCCTCGTTGTACGCGCGTAGAATCAATCCGTCTTACGGTCATGATCACGAGAGGTAAGTTGCAGTGGCAAGTAAGAAGGCGAGAACGAGG